TCGAAGAAATTATGGTAAAATTTGAACATTTCAAGCTCTAAATACCTTAGTTGTAGACTTGTAGTAGTGTAAAAAAAAAATTATGTTAAATGTTAAAATTTTGAAAAATATAAAAGACCATACTATTCAAAATACTGATTCTATGTATTTCAAAAGTTACATTTTATTTTTGCCTTATTCTAATAACTTTTGTGGACCAACCATAATATTATAGTTATTAACTATAAAAACGATAAAAATTAGCGATGATTATCATTTATTTATCGTTATTTTTCACCATTAAAGCTTTACTATTTTTATATCATCAATCATATTTTCCATTAATGTTTAGTGATCTATATTTGGGTTATCTAACAGTTATCAAGAAAAGGAGGAAAATTAGGAGACTGATAATAAAAATTTTGAAATTGAAGAAACTGTTTCAATTTGGGCAGATTCGGACGTTTTTGCCCTCCCACTTGCATAGTGTAGCTTTAAAGAGGCTACAAACCACACTTTTTTTTACAGAGTTTCCTCTCTCTCTCATCAGACAAACCAGAAAATCATAATTCCATGCAAGGGATGGTGACGGAAGCGACAGATCTGGTGGTGTGTGTTTGTCATTGGAAGCAGCGACGGATCCAAATCGATGCAGTGATGGATCTAGTGGCGCGTGGCGGTCAATGGAAGCACCGACGAATCCGGTGATGCGTAGCGATTAGTGAAAGCATCGACATATCCGGTAGAAGCATTGACGGATCCGGTGGAAGTAGCGACGGATCCGGTGGTGTGTAGCAGTCACCTGGAAGCACTTCTCGAATCAATGGAGAAAAAAAAGTATATTGTATCAAATAGTATGTATTTATGTAGTCTATTTAGTATTAGAATTAGCCGTCTAAACTAAATGGTATCCCATCAGCATATGTAATAGCGGATAAGATTTTATTTGTTCGTAATATGTATTGTTAAATGTTTATTAGGGCGAGAGGCCCAAACCCTATATCCAAACCTTACCCAAAATTTATATCATAATTTTACAATACTTAACCCAAACCCTAAACTCTAAACCCAAATCCTACCCCAAAATCTATACCCTAATTTTACAACAATTAATCCAAACCCTAATCCTTAAATCCAAACCCTAAACCAAAATCTATATCCTAATTTTACAATAATTTACCCAAATTCTAAACCCTTGACTCTATTAGGTTGTCCGTATTTATAATTAGTGTCCGACTAACAATTAAAATCACTTTTAAATTTTTTCCTATTCGGATACATACTTTATTTTCCATATTTAATAATATTATCCAGCTTTCTACACAATTTTATTTGTTGTATTTATAATTTATCCAACAAATAAGCTTCTTTCTGTAAGTTGTTAAAAAAATAAAGCCAACTTATTATATATTGTTCCATTATTTAAATTTTGCATCCGGTTAACAATTAAGATTATTTTTTAAATATGTTATACTATCCGGATGAAAATTCTATTATCTGAATCCATCGCCGCTTTCACTAATTCGTCGACGTTTACACCGGACCTTTTGTCGCGTCCATTGACCGCCACACATCACCGGATTCGTCAGTGCTTCCACTAATATGTCGTTGCTTTCATTGATCCGTCGCTGCTTTCACCGGATTCGTCACTGCTTCCTCTGATTCGTCACTTCTTCCACTGACCGTCACGTACAATCGGAACCGTCGCTGCTTTCATTGATCTGTCGTTTGTCTACTAATTCTGTCGCAACACACCATTAGCTCCGTCGCTGCTCCAATGACCAGCATCTACCACCAAAATTTTGTTCAATGAGAGAGATAGATTGAGAGAGATGTATTATTTGGTTTGTATATATCTATTAGTGTATATATGTTTGTATTCTTTCGATACGAGGGTACAGTAGGAATATTGAAATGTTTATAGTGTCATTGTTAGTTTACCAATTACCCTATAATATGTTAATATCCAGTGCAAATACTCTATACTAGTTGACTCTCCTGCGTCTACGCGGATAATTTATTTATATTTTTTTTTTTGAATTTTACACTTCGAAAATGTGAAATACGTATTTTTTTTATATTTTTATTATAGACATTGTTGTTAGTATTTTGTTGTAAACTTTTTTTGTTAATAATATAAATTTTTGAAGTTTAGTTTTACCATTTCATTATTTGATATATGTAAACATATTAAATAAAATATATAATAATTTAATATATTGGATTGCACAATCTATTATCAAAAGTTGAAAAGATTGAATCCCCTATTTGATCATCTTTTTTCTTCACATAGAATTTTAAATAAAAGCTGAATTCGACATCGAAATATGAAAAGATTAATGTGAGAAACTTTTCGTAAACAGAAAAAAGTTAATAAATTTTTTCATACAACGTTAACGAAGTACACTACGTTTTCTTTTTCTTTTGTTTTATAAACTTTTGTTGTTTTCTATTTTTTTATGGTTAACGTCACTCGTACTTTTTCATATTTTGTTAAAGAAAAACGATTTCTCTTTTATATGGGATAATTAGAAAAATATAAGATTTAAAATCAATTTCATTCATTGAACGATGAATTTCTATGGTTTGATCTTTTTATTTTATATTGAACTTTTCACAGTGTTTTATTACTAAACATTAAATATAATATCACAATGTATAAACTGATTTTCTTAAAATATAAAGGTGAATATTAACTTTTTAAATATTAGACTTTTGATTTTTCAAAAAAATAAATATATATTTAATATAAAGATATAAAATTTAGATACATTTTATCTTAAATGATTTTGTTACTTTTAAATTGTCTTAGTGCTAAATTTTTATTTTTTAAATATACGTATATTTTGTATTTCTCAATTTGAAAAGTTCTTTTTTAAGAATGTCTTGTCAAATTTTTTACAATTGTGAGAATGAATTTGATGAGGACACATAAGCTCCGAGATATGAATGAACTAAAGGATCACTTTAACTAACCATTGCAACAAACGAAATTCAAAATTAATGAACAAGCGAACCAAGAACACATAGAATCCAAAAGGGAGAGGAGCCAAAATCTGCAAAATTCCCTTACGAATCGATCTTGACCAGAAATCTAAAATAAGCTTCCTTGAGTTTCATTCGATTTGGATACTCTTCACGGATCTTGGAAATCAAGAGTGTTCCCATACCAGATGCAGTTCCTCCTCCCAAGGAATGGCAAACCTGAAACCCTACAGAGCCAAAATCTCACAGTTCAAACACCAGTACACCAGGACAATGGAAACCTCTGGAAATTTTATAATACAGATAAAAATACAAGCTTTAAACATACAAATTTGAAATCTAAGCTCGTTTTACCAATTTTCCCCAAATCTCTAAAGAATATGCTACAAGAGTTTTCAACAGTGTCTAAGAAAATTTGATAATATGTAAAAGCCAATGCATACTACTGTCTAATTTAAAATCATACCAGCCATCCTTGTCGGTCTTTCCCTTACACGGGGATATTTGCTCGCTAGTCCGCTCCAAAGACAAACCACAGACAAAGCCAAAAACGAAATTTGTTAGAAAATTGTAAAGATAATTAGAGAGAAACCATGAATCGTTCCGAAAAAAAGAAAACCTTAGAATGAGAGCCAACGACAAAGATCTTGTCGACCTCGAAATTTTGGAAGGTAAAATTCTCTTGAAGTTACGAAGTGAGGAAGATTAGCTTGAGAGAGAAGGCCGCTGGAGAGAGGAAGAACGACGGCAAGTCGACGGACGAGATTTGTGGAGGCAACGGCTGCTGTGTTAAGGAGATAAGAGATGTCGGTGGCTAACCTTGGAGGAGGCGGTGGCAACAAAGGGGTCAGTGAGATCGGCAAAGGTTCGACAAAGTCAAGAGAAGGGAGAGAGGTGAAGCGCCGTTTGAGTTTGAGATCTGAGGTTGATAAAATTAGGGTTACATATCAATAAATTCGTTTATATAGGGAGCTAAAAAGATCTGGTTCAGTTAATATTTTCGGTTTACTAGGCTTTATTCTCCGGTTAGGTCAATAATTTCGGTTTAGCAGACTGCAAATGATGCCTACTATAAACTCTAAATTTAGACTTCCGGAGAAGTCTACCGAAAATCTAGATCAACTATTTTTTATTAATTATTCAAAATCCTAAATAAAAACTTATTTCAACATTAAGAAAAATTAATATATTCATAAATTAACACTTTTATTCAAATTTGATATTTTAAATATGAAAATTATAAACCTTAAATCTAACCCTAAATGTAAAAACATGTTTCCAACTTATGATATGAAACTATTGCCCATATTTGTAACTCCAAATATAACATACATCCCTTCAAATTTAACATCCATAAAACCCTAAACTACACACACCTCCAAATTGACCATTAACAAAACCCTAAACTATAAAACCTTAAACCATCAAACCCTAAACTATAATCTCTAAAAAATTGTTTACTTTAAACCCTAAAACCATAAATATAAATTCCTCAATCTAAGCCATTACAACATAAATTCATGAAACTATAAATATCAAACAAAAATAACTACCAACATGTCACTACATCAATACCAAAACATATGTTTAGTCTTCATTTCATTATGAATATGTAACCTAAGTTATCTTTGTTTCTTTAATTTGTGAACTTTTTTTTTATACTTCACAATTTCTTATAGTATGGTCATCAACACAAAATGTTAATCAAACTAATTTTTGTTAGTTTATAAATTTAAATTTCATATGTAATTAGTAAGTAGACTTCAATAAAAGTCTACTAGTATGGTATTTAACCCCTAATTTATCTTTGTTTCTTTAATTTGTGAAATTTTCATTTTTATACTTTGGTCATGAATACAAATGTTTAATCAAACTAATATTTTTTTAATTTATAAATTTAAATTTCATATATAATTAATAAGTAGACTTCTATTGAAGTTTACAAAATATCTAAAGTAGACTTTAATTGAAGTCTACTAATAGAGTAGATTTCTTTAGTACATAGTAGACTTTTCGGAGGGGTAGAAAAGTAATTGTGGCATCCGTTTTTTTCTTTGGTCATAAGGGATGTAATTGTAATTTCACTACCCCTTTGAGTTACTTTTGTCAAACATGAGATAATGAGTCTACTTTTGCATTTAAAATCAAATTGTAGGTCATTTTTGGATATTTCCCCGTTAATATATAAGGGATTTTTAGAAACTTTTACTATTTTTCACCATTAAACCTTTTACTATTTTATGGCATCAACATCAATCATATTTTTCCATTTATGTTTACTGATATATTCATTCCT